ATACTCATTTTTCAGTGGCAGTCAAAACTTAACCAACTTTCATCCCGGACGGCCTCTACTACAGGACCTATTCATTGTAAACATGTTCTCGTCATGAACATGCATGAAATATTTGCCACTGTATGTTAAACAACAAAAACTAAATCAATCAATTGATTTATACATTTACCTCTTGCTTTACTGATTGTTGATTACTGACCACCCAGTGGCAAATATCTCATGCATATCTAAATTAAGACGACAGTAGTTTACCGATATTCAAATCCCGTAAATCGATTACATAACAAACAAACATTGAGAAAGAAATCAATAAATATCAATAAAAAATGTATGAAAAATTGTGTAAAAAGGGGAGACTCAAGTCTACCCAAAATAGAAGACAGAAACTATAGATTTAATACAAAAACTTGTGAAATTTCAGAATGGATGCATTTTCATTGTCGACAAGGATTGAGCTATTTCATAAAACAATATGCCAAGTCAGTATTTCTAACATCTTTTTAATTTCAAGTCCTTTTTAATTTTTTAATAGATTTAAACAAATGCTTTCTCGATGGTTTATTATTTTCTTTTAATTATAATTATATGTTGGGCACCAAGTTTACACGACTGACCTATACACGGACAGAACTGTACCTATTTCGTTTAATGAGCTCATACCAATTACAAATTATTTCGCTAAAAGAAAAACCTCGGTCACAATTGACCTTAGACATAACGGAAGAACCTGTTGTTAACACGACACCAGAGAAAGCTGTTGCTAACATAAAGCCAGAGGAATCGGTAGCAAACTTGATGTCAGTCGAATATGCTGCCAACATGACGTCAGAAGAACTTGTTGTCAACTTGCATGAAGAAAATGATTCAAAAGGGATTCCTTGTGCACTTTGCAAGTCCAAGAAACCGACCCACATGACCCAGAAATATTCAAATTTAAGAAAAAACTAGTCTTGGATATTTCCTAATCATACTCCAAAACACCCATCAAAAAAGAAAAATAATATCTACTATGGAAGATGCCTGACAAAACAAAATTACATACAAAAATTCATGTCAAATTACAAAAGAAGCACAAAAAATCTGAAATGGAGTTAGAACTGAATCCGACAGTGCCACGGACATTGATGATTAAAGATCGACCGTACTTTTTTTTGGTTTTTACTGTCATGAACAAATGCGAAAGTAAGAGTCATAACTAGTATGTGTCTATCCCAAATAACTATAAGATGAAGAGTTTGGTTCAAGAACTTGGCAATATATTTATCAATAGTTCCGGAGAGATATGTCTGTTTCTTCATGTTTAACACGTGTTGCTGAGCACATGGTTGAATACCCGATTGTATGTCGCAATGAAGGCATTCTACACGTGTATTTGAGGGTAGGATCGTGATTTTGGTGCAGTCTTGTATGACGCAATGCAGGTATTCTACACGTGTACTTGAGGGTAGGATCGTGATTTTGGTACCTATAGTTGTTAATTTCTGTGTCATTTGGTCTCTTGTGGAGAGTTGTCTCATTGGCAACGATACCACAATTTCTTTTTTATATGGTATGACGCAATGCAGAAATTCTACACGTGTACTTGAGGGTAGGATCGTGATTTTTTACATGGTCTTGTTATAAAACATAAATATTTTTAATAACTGTCATTTGATGTTCTGAGTGCCTGTACACGGTCGGGAGTATGACAGTTGACAGTTGTTTTCCATTCGTTCCTTTGGATAATATAGACGAGTGTTTGGTTTTGTCAGGTTTTATCAATGGACTTCACTCTTTTTGAATATACATAGTTTTTGTTCATACTAAGGCTTTTTTCTCAGAATATTGAACAGAGCGTTGTACCAAATTACGGTCATGTTTTGCAAGCGACAAAAATAAATAAGGTGAAAACAAATTACTGTAAAATAGAAGAAAGGGAGTGTGTCTGTCAAAGATGCAAAAGAAGATAAAGATAACCCTGCAATTGATAGTTGTCTTGTATAGAAAGATTGTTGATATACTGGGGAGAGTGGACACCACACCTGCATAATCATTACTAGTTGTTTTTGTGTGCAGTTTTTACTATTGGTATATGATGTTTAATATTTTATAATGTTTGCATTGTGTATATTGTTGTATTGTTTGCCTACAACCCCTCGGGGTATACATGAGCATTACTTAATAAATTAATAATTATATTAAAAAAAATTATAGATATAAATCAGAGTACGGATGAGGCAAAGAGCGTTCAACCCTGACGCTAATGTGAAGCTTTTGATGGAGTCAATCACGGAGAGTGATACTGTGAATGATCTCCAACTTTAAACTTGGAAGATCTGATTCTGTCAAGGCCTTAAAAAAAAACACCAAAAACAAACACACTTATTCCAGAGAGACAACCAGCTATAAAAATTCAGGAAATCAATCAGGATAACATACAAGATATGCATAAAGAAAGCACTGCTACAGATGTTAAAAAATAAGTAAGGAATATGATAACAATATTCAAGAAAGACAAATGGAAGTTAAAGTTAAAGAATCCAGCAAATGTTCTGGTACTGATGAAACGTCAACGATAAAAAAGAATAAAGATCTGCCCTCAGACCTAACAGGAAACAAAATGTTTTTGAAAAAAGTATCTTCCATAATCTGTAGTATTCAAACATCGCCCACGCTTCGAATGATAATGTCAAAAGGGACGCTATGAAATCGACACAGGAATATAAAACGCCAGTGAGACCCACAAAATTGATGTAAAAGAAATTCCATTAAATTTAGACTTAAGAAGTGGAGATAAACAAAGGAAACAATTTCAGTAAGTCTACAATAGAGAGTACTTTGGAATACCAGTTCCGAACTAATATTTTGAGAAAGAGGTGTGCACAACATGTTCTTTTGTCATGAGTGATCGAGTTTGAAGTAATCTATGCAAAGGACAGAAATACAGGTGTTTTAAGATTAGGACGTGGGAGTATATTATTTCAAATGGCATTAAAAGTATAAATCCGTATTGTGTTTATATGTTTAGCGAATGACAAAGTTATAATTGCCGAAGCAAAATCAAAAACAGAAGTTTCAATTGTTTCGAGGTGACGGTGTACTTCATTGCACACAGTTATAAATACCAGTTTTTTATGGACGACAAGAAAGTTGTACACGCTAACATAAGCTCCCATGAAAATCACCACATAACAGAACACCACTTTAGACCTATAAGCTGAAAACAGAATCAAAAACTTCGAAACATATTTCAGTCTGGGAAGAAACCGTATAGACACTACTTGGAAGAAATGAAGAAGATACCAACTGAAGCAAAAATAGCATGAAACTTTTCAACTTTTGGTAACACTACTAGAACACTTCAAGAAATTGTAACAGAATATAGATATACCAACAAACTAGATCAAAATGAATTTGAAAGTTTGGTAAAATTGTCTGGTGAAATGGCAAAAGAAATACAAAGAAAAAAGATACAAGGGTTTCTCTAATTCTATGAAAATTTATCCCTTTCCGAACCCATTGTATAAAAAAATTTAATCAACATGTGGTTGCCGGTGATCTCAGAAGATCATTGGATGATTTTAAGGATCATAACCTTTTAGCTAACTGGATGAATCAAAATATGCTAACAGGTGTTAATGAAATTGACAACTTCGTGGAATGTGAAAGGCACTCGAAGGGGATTTTCGTTTAACAAAAAAAGAAAAAAATATTTTTTAATCATTAGAGAAACAGATTCTTACATAGTTACTCGTGAATTATCGGATTTATCCAATCTCGATAGTTAAATTATAAATTTTAAAGTCCTCGCCGAGGCTTGGACTTTAAAATTGATAATTTAACTATCTCGATTGGATAAATCCGATAATCCACTGGTATCAATGTAAGAATCTATATTTATACAACGCATATCTATTTTATCACCATATGTATCTTATGTATAAGACGGAGGTCGGAGCACGTATACGGCATGATTGAGTAGCATACTTTTCGTTTCGTTATAATGACAGAACACCACTCCGAGGACGATGATGCTTTGTTATTACATGATCGAACAGTACATGTTTTAGGTGCCAAGTTTTTCTGTATCTACTTTTCAGCAACTGCAGATAAGTAACAGTACATTTAATTCTTTTGCATCATATTTCGAACCTAACATTTCATCTCTGAGAAATGAGTTAGTTTTGTGGGAACGACCTCCTAGCTTCAAAGCTGGAAAGGTGAAGGGAATCCGATTCAATATTCCTTGAATTGTGAGAAATTGCAGAAACTTTAGAAACGTACGTCCTTGGAAGACTTCGTTAGGTTCAAACTTGGTTTCCGGCATTATTATAAAGATCAACAAGAGGAATAGATGAATCCGGATTGCTGAAAAGTCTGAGGATACGAAAGTAATAACCTGGCATCAGATTCGGAGGACAAAAACGTTTGCGCCAAGCAGAAAATAGGGCCATGAAGACAAGTTTACAAATACAAACTGAAAATAACATGATACTACTATTGATCACTATTTATCACTACACCATCACATCTATGTTTAACTTTAAGAACTGGTAATGTTTAAACATTATAAAATCGAATAGTTGGCAAACATAATTTGTTTATAACAACATACTGATTTAAAAAGCATGACGTTCTTTCTTATTTGAAATATCCTCAACTATGCATAGCATATCGCATTTGTACCCTCCCCTCCCCCCCCAAAAAAAAAGAATAAAAAAGATAAATGGGGAATGTGTCCATGGGACACAGATGATGCTCCCGCTTGCATAACATATAAAGTTATAAAGGGTCATAAGATCAGTCAAAGTGACGCCACCAAAATTCAAACTTGATCTGTGTTTTGTGGTAATAAGCATTGTGTATAAGTTTCATAACATTTGGTTGAGGCAAACTAAAGTTAGAGAACGGAAACTAACTTTGGGACGTACGTACGGACCGACAAGGGTAAAACTTAATGCCCCCTCCGCTACGGCGGGGGCATAAAAACAGAAAGACAAAGGAAGAAAAAGAATTCAACCAGGGTATAGGGGTATATTTATTAACACTGTTCACGTTAGCTAATGTCTATACATCTGAAGTTTTAAAAAGGGTAGCCAGTAGCTACTAGAGTTATGTTTCCATTTCTTTCAATTAAATGGTCCTTCGCATAACCACCCACTACACGACAGAAACTATGAACTTTTATGCCATCATTATATTTCTTTACGTTAAATCCGCCATACATCATTGGAACTGAATAATGAAACGGACCTTTCTCATATAGAAAAACAAGCTGTGGGAGTTGTTGACCATTATTTTTGATTAGACGTTCCACTCTATCCAATATAATAGTGTGTAGGGATTTTTCCATTATAGCTATATATTCTCCATTCTGTTTTACACTTTCTGATACCTCAATTAGTCTTAATATATCTTCATCCAGAGAATTTGTCAATGCTATGTCAAATGCAGTTTCTCCTTTTGATGTTTTCAAGCATTTGGATGCACCCATTTTCAGAAGATCTTCAAAGACATGCTTTGGGGCTTTCCCGGCAGCAGCATGATGAAGAGGTGTGTACAAAGATGCTTGTGAATTTGGTTCATCTTTAATGGGGGATCTGCTGGAGTTAATACCTCCAGCTGTTTTAAGGTAAGAAACGAGCTCATCCCACTTTCTGTTTTCACCGAGTTTGTCTACTTTTTGTTTGCATTCAGCATCTTCTTCATGGAAGATATGCTTATATATATTTACTGGGTATGAAATATGGATAAAAATCTGTAATAAATGGAAAATGTATCTAACTATACACTTAAATTGAAAAAAGGTAGGCTATATATTGATAGTTTGACTCTGTTTTATACTTTATGCTTGAATGTCTTTTGACTGGTCCATTCACCGCCTTTATATAGACTGTTCATCAAAAAACGTAAATGCAAATAGCACTCTATAAATTCTATCTTAATCAGGAAAGCCCAAAACTTAACATTTGAAAGCCAGGATTGTTTAAAGAAGTAGAAACGTTTCGAATTATATGACCAAAAAGGACATAAAAGAAAGCAAAAGGTAAACCTTGCCTGCGGCAGTTCCTTAAAAATAAATTCAGTTATCAATAGGGAATTTTAGAAAATATGTTCAACATCATCTCTGCTTACAAACCGACTACTTCATATTTTACATACAATTTTGTAATTAGGACTGTAACACATTTGTTTGATAAGAACTTTAGAAAGAACCAGCCATGAAATGATGCAAGTTTCTCGTGCATCATCGACATATTTTCTTAGAAACTTGTTCCACTTATTCTCTCTTTAAACACAGGCATATGTTATCATATAAGGATCAATTTACAAAATATAGCTTTAAAATCAAAAAAGGATTCTGGAAATATCATTTAAAAAAAGTATAAACAAATCAACTGTTCTCTGTATGCACTTTTTGTATGAGTAAGTTAACCCGTCTGTCTGTCTTTTATCGACTTTAACCGTTTGTTCAGACAATGATGGAAAAAAGTTACCCAGTTTACAAATAAAAAAAATTATATCAGAACAGAATGAAATTCAAATTATACAGTAGCATTCGAAGGGAAATCTAATAGTCAAGTGTACTTAATAATTAAGGATCGTTATAAATGGTAGTCGGTAAAGTTTTCAACCCTGAAATTATCCTCAGCCGATATCATTTTCGGAGCAAACACTTGCGCCACTTAATTGCTAAGAAAATAATCTGCATTTTAACTAATTGCACAAAACGATATATATATATATATATATATATATATATAACCCTAACCCTAACCCTATGTTACAGGCATTTTGTAAAATGACTGAATCAATTTTTCAGACAATTTATAAAATGCCTAACCTTGACAGGCATTATATAAAATATTACTGAAACTTTTAAACAAAATTCAACAAATTGCCTTTTCAGTTACCGGAAATTTGTTGAAAAAAGGATAATTATCATCAAGATGCATATGACCAAAACACAATATCTTGCAAGGAAAATAACAAATGGTTCGATAAAATTGAGTTACTTCTTCAAAAACCAGTGACTAGAACTTGTATTCGTTTTAGTGAAACTACGTTAAGTATGTACTAGTGACTCTGTATTTCAGGTTGTAATTATAGCACCCTTAACGGAGTTGGGGTGACATATTGTTATTCTACGTTTCTTTTTTTTTCTTATCATTTTTCTTCCACTTATTATGTCCCCGTTAGTTGTCGGATTTGAATGGTTAAATATTGATGGAACTATACTTTTATGAGGATTATGGCAACATCAACGGAGTTGGGTTGACATATTGTTATTCTGCGTTTCATTTTTCGTATCATTATTAATTTTCTTCCATTTTTTTTTGTCCGCTCTAGTTCTCGGATTTGAATGGTTCAATGTTGATGGAACTAGACCATTATGAGGACCCCCATGTGAAGTTGATCCTCTGACTTTGGAATGGTTCAAGATGGCCACCGTTTCCATGGAGGAAAACAATCTAAATTCTAAATCTTTTACTATCAGACCTAACTGGATGGAATTTTAAGGAAACGTTACCTAGTATGCCTAGATGTGCAGTATTTAGAAAATCCAAAAATGGCCGCCATTGTCATTGAAACAGGGGGAAACTATGAGAAAATACATTAAGGTTGCATTTTCGTAAAGAATAGAACATCAAACGCATTTAAACTATATGGATATGTAACATGGCATGTACCAATGTGGCATTTGCCTTTGGAATTTTGGAAATGGTCACCGTTACCATGGAAACAGCAAACATTTCAAAATGTTCCAAATTTACTGAAACTTTACAAAAAATGTAAATTGGCATGTGTAGATGCACTGTTTGACTTTAGAATTTTCAAACTGGTTGCAGCTACCTTGGCAATTTGGGGACGAGGGTGCCATCTGCTATTGCTCACAATTGCAAATCTAGTTTTATTATCTTTTTGTCATGAAGTTACAAATAAGGGTGCATTGACAGGGTAAGCGTCTCCTGCTATGGATGCATCAGCCGGAACGTGTATATCTGCTTCAGTCTGTCAATTGTTAATCAGATAAGAAAAATGATATCAGTCAACCATGTCGTGCTAATGTGACTTTGAATCTGTAGAAAACACATAAAAACAAAATATTCATGGGTGTACTTTTAGCAAAACCCAATGTTGGTTGAACGACAGTGTTTTATCAGAAAAAGTATTAACAAAGCTGAATGTGTAAATGGCACACATTTCGCCAAAAGTGGTTGTGCTTAGCCAAACAATGCGTTTGCAAAAAATTCAGGACGAATGTGTAACTGATTCTGCCATCCAAACATTACTTAAAATAAAAAAAATATGTGTCGAGTGCGGTGCTTGTGGAAATCTTTTAAGTAATTCAATAGAATTCATTTTTAATTATTAAAGCTCTTAACATGCAAGCTTTCAAATTGCCGTTATTATGAGTGACAAAGATAAAACTGCTCAGTTGTTCCATACTTTCATTTGCTCAGTTTTTGTTTTGTTTCATTGTATAAAATAATTTCATGCATTTTGTAAAGTGTCATTGGATTTTTCCAGGCATTTTGTAAAATGCCTGAACAAAAATAGTCAATACATAAAATGCCCGATTTTTACAGGCATTTAGAAAATGCCTAAATTTAGAAATGCCTGTAACATATATATAAATATATAATTATTATTGTTATCGTTTTAAACAAAAAAATACGAATTTTGTACACATTTCTTGAATGAGCCAACAGATTGGGAGTCAAAAGGGATACATACACGATGCTGTATATAAATCAACAGGAAACTTTGTTTGAGAAATTTCCCTTGTGGAGCAGGATCTGCTTACCCTTCCGAAACACCTGCGAACACCCCTGTTGTTGGTGTAGTTCAGTCGTAAGTGTTCGGTGTAGTGTTTTGTAAGAAGTTCTTATCGTCATGTAGCCCAAACGTGAAAATGTTTAAACTATTTTTGTCCATATAGTTATTCACTGTTGTATGTTCATCACGAGGACAAACACTTTTTGATTCCTATATGTTATAGGATTATCAAAGCATACCTTTAAATCGTCAATCTCCCCTGTCAAAGCAGATTCTTTTGACGAAGCAACCTCCCTGTCTTTACTACATATGCACCTACAACAGCATGTTTTGTTCAACCAAGTCCGTACACTATAAATAGAACTTTTTGAACGGACCATGTCTGCAAAAATAAATGTGTTTATTATTTCCGTGTGCACAACATGTGCTTTCGGACCGATCCGTGCGCCCATAATTTTGGTAAGCCCATAATTTTAATTAAGTAAAACCAATACCATCAAATGAATTTTCCAGATGGACATGCAATCCTATTTAGCTGTTTACTTTCCCGACAAAGAGGACGATTGGTTGATTAATATTTGTTTAACGTCCAATGTCAAGCATTTCATAAATATTTAGAATGAACTGAGAAACATTTACATGTAAAGCGGAACTTTTTTAGACATGTTATATTGTGCATTGGTCAATTAGGCTCATTGTTTTTAAAAAAATAATGAATTTGTAACCTGAGACACCTGGCAATTAACAATATAGGTACAATGTAATATTTCATTAATATGAAATTAGAATCCCGAACACATTCCGGGCTAATTTTAAATAAATATTTAAATCGATACAGATCGTCAGAATTTTGTTCAAGTAATTTTCTACATGGTCTATTCTATAAACCAAACAATACGACGCTGTTCAATAGTGATAAATCGATACATAGAAACGGACTATGTGAAAACAACTGCCATATTCCTGACTTGGTACAGGACATTTTAAGAAAAAATGGTGGGTAGAACCTGGTTGTATGGCTAGCCAAACCTCTCGCTTATATGGCAATGTTACACAAACTTGTAATTAAGATGATACCTTAATTGCTCACATTCGAAGTCCAAAATACACAAAATAAAGTGCAAATGTTTTTTATTATCCATACAGAAAAATATCTTTTTCGGTTCACTTCATACAAGCTATGGCTCTTATTTGTTGTACAGATTCTAAGGCTATATAAAAAAGATGTGCAAGTCAATTATCAATTACAGCTTATGTTACGGATGATGGGATAATCTAACTAATATCATTCCGTAATAGTTGGATATGAAAATGTTTATTATAGACGGACGGACAGACAATAAGTAATTACCATTATAACTAACATGATTATATTTGGAATCTGTTGTTATGAAATTGCTTCAAATCCACAGTAGAAAAACAGTTACAACCGGTAATGTGTTTGTTATAATTACAATAACGTACACAAACTTTTATTACACGTTTGTAGATACCACGTTTTTAATACACACAATTTTGTCTTTAACAACGAATAAACACTAAAGGAAAACTGTTCTTGCATATAATAATCGCTATGATGTAAATGTGTATATAACATGTATAAAACGAAAAGTATAAGTTGATATGAAATATTCAACACAATAAAATAGAATATACACAAGTGAAGTAATCAATACGCCGTACAGTGTGTATTTTACAAAGCAAAAATTAAAGTTTAATCATGACCGAACCAGCTACATGACATACATCTTAATTTAACTATTAATAAGTAGTTAGTTCTACACATATATTTTTAAAGATATCTTCTACTGTACCTTACCTTAAAACATAAGTAAATTGATGACCAGCCTCAGTCTATATTTAGTAACAATCTGCGAAGCATTATTGATCAAACTACTAAAACTGTTTTCTGCATAATGAGGGATGCTACAATATTTGATTTAAACGTCTATTTAAATAATCGATGTTCGGTTTTCAAACGATTTATTTGAAGTTATTAGTTAAACGGCATTCATTATTGATATATTATTTCAAAAGACATAATTTAAAAAAACAAAAAAGAAATTGTAATTGCCCTATTTCCAGTTATTTGCACAGTACATCGGTAACTACTTACTTTCGGAAAGACATCAATTTTCTTAGCGAAATGGGTGTTATAAAGACACTAAAAGCCCCGTCCCGTCCAACAGGAAGGCCCATGATGAGGGGAGCTCGTTTTGGTGGGATGGATGAACAAATACGTAGACACTTTGGTCATAAGTTAAATCTATTCCGACGTTAGAGAGATATCACGCTGGCTGGGCGATATAAAAACCCTTATTATACTCCTTCCTACAGATATTTGAGGGGCCAATATGTGGCTTGTTTACCCCTCCAACGTATCCTTTCTTTACAGTGGTAGTCACCCAGGTCGCAGACCCATCCAATGGTTTGATTAATGATTTATGTTTGTCTAAAATATGAACTATTTGCCACTGGACGTTCCCAAACAAACAATCTTCTGTCATCCCAGATGATAATGCATGGACAAGCTACATGCATTGATTACACAAGCAAGGCGATTAATTTCTACTAAACTATAATTGAGTTCTTTATTTAACGTAGGTAATTCATTTAAAAATAACATGTTAATATTCCCGGAGGCCTTTAAAAACTATTAATAAATTCAAATTCAAATAGTTATTGCCATATAAACTTATTGATATAAATAAATCAAGTACAGACAAATAACATACATAATACAGTTAACTATATATAAATCAGCTTATATATTGAATAAGCACATATGCATTAAAAAAAAATTACATTAGATTCATGCATTCAAAAGAGAAAAAAAAAATACATTAGATTCCTGAATTCAATAGAGAGAAAAAAAAAATACATTAGATTAAGGTATCTTCTTCATTCTGTAAAGTTAAAAATAATGGACATTTGATCTTAAATGTAATTTATTTATTTGTTTCTTTAATATTATTGGAATTATTCAAGGTTATAAGACCAGAATATTTAGATGTTCTTTTTAAAAAATCAGAATTAGGTCTTGGTACATGAAGAAGTCCTGATGTTGTCGACCTGAGCGAATAATTATACAGATCAGTACATGCAGTAAATTTATTAGATAGATAAGCAGGTGATAAAACATTCATAGATATGCGAAGTCATATGTTATAGGACAAAGAAATATGGTAATTCACAGACTTCTCAAATCCGACATCATTCCTGTACGTAGTTCCACTAAGCAGAATGTACTTATAGAACAAATCTACTATAAATATGAAGACAACCTGCGGGACTGACAAGAAATCAAACTTTCTCAAACACTTGACATCGTCGAGACATAGGCATCTACAAATAGATACTGGCGTAAATACTGTGGGCACAGAACAGCCTGTCTTCCCAGTTCAGGATGACGATGGTATGATCATTCCAGATCAACATGTCCCAGAATCTCATGCTTATTTACTTGAAGTCGATGAAAGCACATTTCCTGATCATTATTCTGAAGATCAACCAGATCTAGAGCAGGACAGCGTTGGTGAAGAATATCGCACAGGGGCCGAACACGTAAAATCGGATTCTGAATGGTTTCCATTCATTTCGAAACTGCATTTTCTTTTGTCAGTCCTCTCTAACTCTAAAACCCAGAGTGGTTACTATTCATCATTTTCTGCATTGTTCCACTTTTTTAATCTATATTTGTAATACTTGTTAAATACTTTAAAAATTCAACAACTTTTGTCCCAGATTGAATGGTTGAGTGTTGTTTAACTATCGTACAGTGGCAAATCTTCCATGCATATTCAGATGGAGAACAATTTTAGACTGCCATTTATTTGTTGGATCGCAGTAATTTTGCGTTCAACAAGCCACCTACGGACCCCTAAAATAGTTAATGCAAGATAAGTTATTGACAGAGAGCGCGACACTCTTACGAGTCTTCGGATTTAACGTCTACATCCCTACTGAACATGTCTGCGTAAATCCAACAGGTAAATAGAAGTCTCTGATTAGAATGGACTTCACTGCAATATTAGTTTTACAGGTTTTAAGTATAAGTGTTTTAATCAGTCTCTCGTAACTCTTTTTGGAGTGGCTTAAATATGCTATTTGTCTTGTTGTCTTGTATGGAAGAACAAAGATGACCATAGTTCTATTCACCAGTCTACCCTTGTGATGTATTCAGATAAATTTTTTTTCTGACAAAGGTTAATTTGATATCTCGAAGATTCAAGGTTTAATTTGCTATTTGCACGGCGGGGGCACAAAAAGAGAAAAAAGGTGGACGGACATTTAATTATGTTTTATTGCAATAGCCATTTCCATTACCAGTAGGAATGGACAATAAAAAGCATACAATCCACAGGAAGCTCTGTACATGTCAATGTGTGTGTGTTTTTTTTTATTAGATTTTTTTTGTTTACAATATAATCTGTTTGGTTATGTGATATGACACACGTGAGGTAACAGTATTACATCTTTACAAGCATTTATCATGTTTATACGTTTGAAGAGATTGCATATGTTTGAACGCGCGCCATTTAGTTTAATAACGAAATCGAATGACGATAAGGACAGAACTTTTAATTATTTTGAAGCGTTCGTATAATGTTATCATGTTGTCAGCGTCGTCGTCGTCCGAAGTCATTTGGTTTCCAGTCAATAACTTGAGTATAAGTGTATGGATCTCTAGGAAATTGTACCACAAGGTTCCTTACCACAACATGAAGGTTGAGATTGATTTTGGGGGTTATTGTTCTAACTACTTAGGAGTCAAAAACAAACATTTTTCTTGTTTCAGGAAAATAACTTGTGTATAAGTGTATGGATCTCTATGAAATTGTACTACAAGGTGCCATACCTCAAAAGGAAGGTTGGGATTTATTTTGGGAGTTATGGGCCAAACTGTTTAGGAATTAGGGGAAAAAACCTAGCATTTTCATTTTTCCGGACAATAACTTGAGTATAAGTCTATGGATCTTTGTGAAATTATACAAGGTTTCATACCAAAAAAGGAATATTGGGAATGATTTTGGGGGTTATGTCCCTAACCGTTTGGGAAAAAGGTGCCATAAACATTACTTTTTTAATACTTTGTATAAATTGCTTATTTTCTTTAACAATTTCAATGGGATTTAATACAAAGTCTTGAATCTTGGGGTTGTTTATCATGCTGAATCTAACCATGTATTTAGATTTTGGACCCCGGTTTTAAATTGGTCCACATTGAGGTCCAAAATTAAACTTTGTTTGATTTCACAAAAATTGAATTCTTGGGGTTCTTTGATATGCTGAATCTAACAGCCGTGTAATTTAGATGTTTGATTTTGGGCCGGGTTTTCACATTGATCCACAATAAAACTTAGTTTGATTTTAACAAAAATAGTATGCAAGGGGTTCTTTGATATGCTAAATCTTACTGTGTGTTAATATTTTGGATTTTTGGCCCCATTATCAAATTGGTACACATTGAGGTCGAAAGGGTCCAAAATTAAACTTTGCTTGATTTCATCAAAAATTGAATTCTAGGGGTTCTTTGATATGCTGAATCTAACCATGTATCGAGATTTTGGATATAGGACCATACACGTTATATGTCCAATTTAAAAAAAAAAAAATTCGTAGACTTCATTCATTGTGTGAAAACAAATGCTCTGTAAAATATTTAATCACAATCCAAATTCAGAGATGTATCGCACAATTAATAGAAGTTGAAAGTAAATTCATAGTTAAAAATAGATAGAGCATCATCATATTCTAATTTTAGAAATTATGTATAAATATAGTTTAAAATGTACTGTTCATTGTTAGATATTTTGAAAAAAAATTAGAGGCAAGTTTTATAGATTGTTTAAAGACATTGTATTAATGAGGTTTGTTTGTTATTCTGTATATTGATTGTTGGTTGCTTAATGTCCAGTGGCAAATATTTCATGCATGTTCAGGACGAGAACAAATTAACAATAAATATAATAGGTAGGTCCTGTAATAGAGGCCGTCAGGGATGAAGGTCGTGTAAATTTAAACTGCCACAGGAAAATGAGGGTATATTGGATATATAGGGACAGAAATTTAGCCTTGCAACAGGCCAAGTACGGACCATTCGAAGAGCGTGGCACTCTCTTTACACGAGGCATCGGATTTAACATCCCAATTCTGACCGGAAGTTGCTGCGAACTTGTTCATCCCGCACAGCTAAACGGACGCCCCACTTTGATGAGGGTTTTACTGCCGGTAAAGGAAGGAGGAAGACCATTGGTGACCATATTTTCATTCCCCAGTTACCCTTGAGGAGTGATTTTCTGTATAAATTAGTTTTCAGAATGCTATATATATATTTTTATGAGAAGAGAATCCTTTTAAAACTTAGCTTATATTGAATTCTTTGTGTCCTTGGATATTATGGTCCATTAATAAATAAATGAATTAATTTTTTTGTATACTTGGATATGCTGAATCTAACCGTGTATTTATATTTGAATTTTGGACCATAATAGGTAAAATCCAATTTTAAAAATTTCAGCACTTTGACCACATTCATTGTGACAGAAACCTATGCTGTGTCAAATGTTAAATCACAATCCAAATTCAGAGCTGTATCAAGCTTGAATGTAGTTTCCATACTTGCACCAACAGTTCAGTGTTCGACCTCCGCTAAGTATTTGATCATATAAAATATAATCAGGCCATGAAAAACAAAATTACACATACCATTGCATGCTTAATAAATCGATATGTTATACATGGCGTAATTTATACAGTATACTCCAGCTACATTAATACGTGTTGTTTATTCTAGAAAATATTTTAAGATACGTGTAACTATACCTTACTTTGCGACGATCAAGTAACGTCTTTTTTTAGTAAAAACAATGATGCAATTTCGCGAAAAATATTTT